ACTTAACCCCCCCCCCCCCCCTGGTCGTAGGCAGGCATCTTGTGAGGGTGTGAGGGTTAATTTGCATATCACCTTTTTATTATATAGGATATTTCTTTAATTTGGCTTAATATTAATACAGAGAATGGCTAAATTAGTATAAATGTTTTATAAAATAGTGGGAATTTTTAGTCTTTATTTGTTCCGGATAATCAGATCTAGTAGTTAACCTGAATAGTGACACCTGGTTATTCCTGAGAGTGAGTGTGTGTGTGTGTGTGTGTGTGTGTGTGTGTGTGTTTGATTGCTTTCAGAGAGGAAGGGAGAAGGGAGAGAGAGATAGAAACATCAATGATGAGAGAGAATCATTGATTGGCTGCCTCCTGCATCCCGCCCCCCCCCCCCTTCCCCCCGGGATCGAGTCTGTAACCTGGGCATGTGCTCTGACAGTCATCAAACTGGTGACCTTTTGGTGAATGGTGACCTCTTGGTGCATGGGACAAACGCTCAACCAAGTCACACCAGCTACGCCCATAATGGTTCTTGCTACTGAAGAACATAAGTGGGAGTGAAAAACATGAAAATGTGATTTTAATGTTATAAATGCTGTGATAGTGGGAGGGAGTTTGTTTTATATAAAACAGCCTTCAAAATGGTTCATTAGGTTTTATTCTCTACGGATCTGCCTATTTATCCCTATATTTCCAAAGAACCGTCTGGACATTTAGATTTATTTATTAGATCAGCAGTCACTGGACATTTAGATTTATTTCTTAGATTAGCGGTCACCAACCTTTCGGACCTCACAGACCACCAGTGGTCCATGGACCACCGTTTGGCGACCGCTGTCTTAGATCATAATTCAGAGGTCTTTTTCCTTATATTTCGATAATTTCCCCTAAATGAATTACTCTGATTTTCTTCATTTCCTCTCAGTTTACAAGCTCATCTATAGACTAAACCTCCACTCATGTACTTTGTTTGGAAGAGCTTTGTGACATTTATAAATGTGGAAATTTATCCATATATGCCCTCTTCCGGAGAGGTTGGTTCCAGATTCAGTTTTGAAATGTTCTGTTGTTGATCTCGCCACTTGTTTAGCTCAATTAAACTTGGTCTGAGAGACTGCTTTGTTGTGACATACTTTGTTGTAACTAATAGCAGAAACAAAAGTATTAGAATGTTAGACAAGGAGGGTTCTAGTACAGAAACAGTACATAATGCCAACTAATTAATGATACCTATTCACCAAGACAGAGCTTAGAAAGAATTGCAATAATCCCCACTTTGCACATCAGTGAAAACTAAATGTTATGTTCCTGTTACAGGTTTATCAGGTACAGAGTGCTCCCTCCTAGGACCAAGAATTTGTCAAGGTGGCAGATGGGAATGGTTGTGAAATAGTTTATGAGCAACATATCCCTTTTTATCAGATTCCTATTCTTTCTAGTTCTAGGCCTTTGAAGTGCTAAATGTCTGAAGTAATTTGCATAGAATTACTTGAGCTCCTGTTAACTAGCAGATTTGAAAGCAAACAATTGCCCCACAAAGTTCTTTTTTTTCTTTATTGATTAAGGTATTACATATGTGTCCTTATCGCCCCATTGCCCCCCATCTCCTCCCCACTCATGCCCTCACCCCCCTGTTGTCTGTGTCAAATGAGGCTCCAATTTATTCTTAACTTTGGTGTCTTTTTACCCTGCTTCACCGTCTTCCTAGCTTCTTTCCTCCTGACTTCCTGAACTCATCTAGTTGAGTTTAGTCTTCTCCATTCTAAGGACTGTTATCATTGTTCCATTTCAGCAACCCACTGGGAAGGCTTCATTTTTAACCTTTTCACAAGGAATACTATCTCTGTGACCTCATTCAACTGTTTTTATCTCACATTTTGAAATCTCTTCATTCTTCTCATTTTTTTCAGCCCTTGTAATTTGGAGTCTTTACCAAATTTGGTGTCCACCTTTTTTGGTTTGCCAGCCTGTACAGCCCCATCTCGAGTGTGTCTGCTCATACCTTGGAGTTCCTTTCATTCTTTTTTGGACTGTGAAATCCATCTCAATTTTTAGGGCTGTGTTGTCACCTTTTCTGCCATCCTTCTGCAGTCCAGTCTATCCACCCCATCCCCACCCTCACTTCCATCCCTCTATCCCCACCTTCCCATGTACATATATTGTAGTGCATTTTCTTTTTTTGGCCTTTCTAGGTAGGATATCAGCTCCAAAAGGGCAAGTTCTGTATTTCATTCGTTTTTGTATATTCATATTCATCGCCTGGGTCATAATCATCATTTATTACATGCTTTCTTTGCCCCTCTCTCAGCTCTAAATAATTTGCATTCTTTGTTACTGTTTGGTGGTTGAATATTCTTACCGAGAGTTACCTCTTACCTCTGTGCTCTTTCTTTAAATCTTGTCTTCTTAGACAATTTTATTTGTGCCAGAGGGTTTTATGTAAACAAGTAGGTAAATGAAACCCTACTCAGTTATTCAAGCCAGAAAGTTGTCTTCCCCCACATTTAAATCATCACCAGGTTTTCTTGTGAGTAAATTGAATTCCTTTTCTCTCCCATCACCAGTGTGGTATTAGAGCTGCTCTTGTTTGGAACCTGGCCTCACCTTGCACTCTGTTCTCCCCACCTGCCCTCCTGCTTCTGCACTGCAGTCAGCTGGCCTTTCCAGGTTGGAAAACTTCCCTCCTCTTTTACTTAAAACACCAAGTGGCTTTCCACTGCTCTTAGAGAAATTAAAGCAAAACTCCTTAACATGGCACCTTTGCACCCATCTGACAGAGAAATGTTCTAATCTTTGAAGATACAGGTATGTTTTTAATAGTTTGAGAAGAAAATGTTCCAGAAGAGGACACTTATTTAGACTCAAGGTGGGGACTGTAGTATGAATAAGACATCTGGTGAACCATAGGTTGTCCCCACAATTGAACGTGATTGACTCCCAGAGTCTGCAAGTGAAGATAAGGCAGAAGGATTTACTTTGCATTTGCCACATTCCTTTTTTCTTTTGCTGGCAAAGAAACCCCTTATGTGAACAAAGGTGGCACAAGAGGCAGCAATCCAGACTTTTAGCACAGTATTTAAGGTGGGCCTGATGTAAAAGTGTGTAGGGGAATACTTTAATTTGTACATTTATTGTGTATTGTACTGTTTTTACTTTTACTGTTGTATGTAAATTTTACTTCTTCAGATTTGTCATTTTCAATTCATTTTTGCTAGTAATGGACTGATGAAAACTCAGGGTACATTCTTCTTCTTTTTTTTTGCTCTACTGCGTGGATCTTGTAGATTAAAAACTAGTTTGGTCTGGCCGGTGTGGTTCAGTGGTTGAGCATCAACCTATGAACCAGGAGATCATGGTTTGATTCCCAGTCAGGGCACATGCCTAGGTTGCTGGCTTGAATCCCAGTGGGGGGTGTGCAGGAGGCAACCTATGATGAATCTTTCTCATTGATGTTTCTATCTCTTTCCTCCTCTTCTTTACTCTCTGAAATAAATAAAAATATTTAAAAACAAACAAACAGAAACTAGTTCGGTATATAGTAAACTTAGTTCTTGGTAAGGGATCACATTTCTATAAGACGGCAGCTCTCTAGGTGTTTGTAAAAATATCTTTTAAAAGTTTTATTAAGTAAAACTTTATAGTACTTTGAATGAAATGTTTTAATGATTTAACCATACAGATCAAATGAGCACCCTTCTGCAAATGTCAACAGTGTAATTATGTATTATTTCTTTTGCTTATTGTTAGTTTGCTGGGGATTTAAACACAAGTGATCGTATTCAGGCTGGTTAGATTTGTGATTTTAATATGAAACCATTGCTTTTAGAATAATCATGGGCCAGACTGGGAAGAAGTCTGAGAAGGGACCAGTTTGTTGGCGGAAGCGCGTGAAATCAGAGTACATGCGACTGCGACAGCTCAAGAGGTTCAGGCGAGCCGATGAAGTGAAGGTATCCCTTTGTCTTTTTTGAAAATGCATGTATAACTGAAGTTATCTTTAGGGAGAAAAAAAGCTAAGTTTTAATTTGAAAGGGTTCATTTTCAGCCCAGGCTATATTTACATTAGATAAATGAAGACTTGGAAGTTCAGGTCCTCGGTCTGTCTTAACATAAAAATTGTACCACACATTGTAGTGATAACGGAAAGATTTTCAGCCTACTTGGAATTTACTATCTTTTTTTTATACCTTTCCATTGCACCTGTAGACTTGGGACCCAAATATACAGGGTTTCGTGGTTTTATGTTTCTAAAGTCATTGTGTTGTTTTTTTTTAATACAAAGTTAACAAAGGATGGAAATAATTTCCTATTCCCCTCCCATTCATAATAAAATAATAGCTGTGGTCTTTTTGTATTTAAATTTGGGGAACCACAGCTTATTGTAAAATCTATGTGCATTAGAGAGACTGTTTCTGATATTTTTGAGAAATCACTAGATTTTAACCCATAATAGAGATACTACAGATGTCCTAACAATGAACATTTTTTTTTCTCCTTTCATTTTTTTAAAGAGTATGTTTAGTTCCAATCGTCAGAAAATTTTGGAAAGAACGGAAATCCTAAACCAAGAATGGAAACAGCGAAGGATACAGCCTGTTCACATCCTGACTTCTGTGAGCTCATTGCGCGGGACCAGGGAGGTTGGTTAACTCACGCGCTGCAGTAATTTCAGTGCATTCTGGTTTTGCTGTTGGAACATTGGTTGGTTATTGAGAGGAAGTCACTGACTTCAGAATGTGTGTCTTTTTATTGCCATTTCTTTTTCATATGTAACTGTTAATGGCTGCCTTAAGTAACACTAATATCTGTAACAGAGCTCTAGTGCTTGACATGCTTTCACTGTTATTACAGAGATTTATAGATTTTTATAAAACTATTGATTAAAAAATCTTTTAAACTAAATACTCTTTAATGTCCTTATCAGATCACTATTTAGAGCTAGGCTTTCTGACTCAGTTGTCTTTCCCCCCTCATTAATGTGAATTAGCCATGTAAGAAATGTCTCCTTTTCGTTCATATTCATAGACTAAGAAAGTTTTTTTTGCATTTTGTTTAAATTCTAAGGCTCTTTTTAAAAGAATTTTAAATTCAGTGTTGAGAACTTGGAATTTCACTTTCTATAGATAGCATTTCTGAATGATGGAGATGTTAATTACTCCAAGAAATCCTATTTTTAAGGGAAGGTAATAAATCTGTGGTAGATTTTATGATTCAGTAACACAGGAAAACAAGCGGCAATAAGATGAAAGAAAATGCGGAAGCCTAAACAGTATAGAACCAATCAGTTGGGTTTTTGTTAAAGCATTTCTGTTTAAGAACCTGTTTTATATAGGAAGACTCATAGAATATGGGATGCTATCTGAACGGACCTCAAGCAGAAAGAGGGAAGAAAGTGATTTGGAACTTAGATTACCCCACGTAGTAGATGATTGTTTATCTGAGCATCTATCTAACAGTGGTTTTCAATCAGTGTGCCACAAGAATTTTTAAGACATGCAATACCTGAACAGTCACAGGCACTGTCCTCTTTTCCCTTAGATTGTCATATAAAAAAATGACAACAGTTAACACAACAATAGCCGTCTGGTGTGAATGAATCAAAAGTATACTTCCCCCCCCCCCCAGATTGGCAAAAATGTATTTCTTGGTGTGACATGGATTTTAGTAATTAGTTTATGTGTGCCGTGAGATGAAAAAGGTTGAAAGTCGCTGATCTAAACAATGGAATTTGTTCATATTTCAATGAGTAGCCATTTTTAACATTTCTTAAAATTGATTTTAGAGAGAGGAAGGGAGGAAGAGAGAGAAACATTGATCAGCTGCCTCCTGCATGCCCCCTACTGGGAATCAAGCCCGCAGTCTGGGCATGTTCCCTGACTGGTAATTGAACCAGCGACTGTTAGTGCATGGAATGAGCTTTAACCAACTGAACCATACCAGCCAGGGCAATGAGTAGCCATTTTAAATATAATATTGTGATAATCAAGTACTACTTTGCTATTGTATGAGATCTGTGAATCTGACACACTGGCTTCGAAGACTTGTCAGCACTGTCACAGCAGCCCAGTGTGCTGTAGACATGACCTCTGATGGTGTGGTAGTCTCAGTGGTGACACCTGACTTGGGATGGTTCTTAGCCATTTATGCATTTTGTCAGGTGGCTACTCTTTAAAGCTCTGACCTGCAGTTGTCTGAATATGTATGATATGCTACTAACCCTCTCACCATCTGGGGCAGGTCAGGGCCTGTACATGTTGGAGGTGATGACTTATTAATGTATGAAGGGTAAGAGGGGTTTTTTTCTGTGCCAGTCAGACCGTTCTTAAGGGGTTTCTAAGTAATTCTTGTAAAAGTTTGATCTGGTGACCTTTTGGAAATTTGAGGTGAAGTTTTCCTAATTTTTTTTCTTCCCTGAAAGAATAATAAATCTTATAAATTTGGAGAAATAAAGTAGAAACACCTGCAATACTTATTTTTGCCACCCATTACAAATCTCAAAATGCTATCAAAAGCCCAATTAACATTAACAATAAAAGTTATCAGCAATAATGATCTCTGGTACTATGCAAGGTACTGTGCACATGTTATTTCATTTAATCTTTATGATGGTTGTATTATGCCTTCTTCCCCAGTTGAGGAAACTGAGCCTTAGAAGAGCTAAGTCAGTTTGCTTGCTCTAATGATCTGATGTGGCACCAGGAGAGTACATTTTGCTCAGACACATTAAAAAATTGATAAAATCTGGCCGGTGTGGTTCAGTGGTTGAGCATCAACCTGTGAACCAGGAGGTCAGGGTTCGATTCCCAGTCAGTGTACATGCCCAGATTCTGGGCTTGATCCCCAGTAGGGGTGTGTGTAGGAGGCAGCCAATCAATGATGTTTCTCTCATCTATTCTTCTATCTCTCAATTCTTCTCACTTCTCTCTAAAAATCAATAAAAACATTTTTAAAAATTAGTAAAGTTCATTATGTATAATTTCAGTTGCTCATAATATAATTTTTGGTGTTAAGCTTGCAAATACAATATATTTAAGTGAATATTTACTAATTGAAAATTTCTTTTAAGTTTATCAAATGGAGATAAATAACATTGCATGTAAAGATATTGTGAGTTTATGTGAGAAATTGTGAGAAGAAACTAGCATTTAAAAAAAATTGTTATCACAATAAATAAAATCTTAAGGGCTGGAAAGAATTTAGTCAGCTTACTTTTAAGTTTGAGCCTTTCCAGCTACATAATGATTTCTTTTATATGCTCTGAAAGTTGGAGTCTGAAGTAGGTTAGAACAGGTTAAAAAAGATTTAGCCTGTTTTGCAGACTTTCTTAGTAGTAGGCTTGGTGGGGTTTTGGACTGCAGTGTTGATCCAAACACCTAGGTCTGTGGCTTTTACCGTTTGAAAGCGCTGTTGTAACATTGTTTTAATGAACCGCTCATCTTTATAAAGCTGATCCTTGGTAATCCTGTCTTCAGTTTGAAGTCTTTGCAGCATGATGATGATCCAATGACAATTTTCAGTTTTTTATGTGTCTTCTACTTTCTTCTCTTTGTACTGGTAGTTACTCTCAGTTTTACTAGTAAAGTGACTGATTTTATTGAGGCTGTTGTAGTAAAGAATGTCTGGCAAGTTTACTTTCTGATCTAATGAAGTGACTGCTGTAGATGCTGACTTCAGATCAGGGAACTCTGCAGTTGAACCTAGAGACCCATCCGTAGTATATTGTTTTCTTGATGTGCTTTTAAGATACTTTTTGGTACCTGTTTTTTGGTGTTGAGGTTACAGAACCTTAAGTTGTGTTACCTGTAGAATTTTAATATAGGATATGTGTCTATTTTTGTATTTCTTTAAAAAAATATTTTGACTCCTTGAAGACAGACTATAATAAGTATTTTATACTTATTTCCTTTGTTCTTTGGATGATCTTTTTAAGGGCCTTAAAAATGTCATTATCTACAAGCCAAGGGATGTATGCTTTAGTGCCATAATGTGTGGCTGTGGCTGTTCATCGAATGTCGTTACCAGGTGACTTTCCTCCTTTGTCTCCTGAAGTCTGTATTATGGTAGTTATATTCTTCAGTGTGTCTGTTTTTCCAGTTTTCATGAAGAAGCTGGCTTAAGAATTACTCTTGTAGTTCTTACTAGGGCATTTCTTTTTGTCCATTTTTTGCTTAAAAAAAACCACAAGGCATTTTCCCCTTCATTGATTCTTTATATCAAGCTTTAATTACCTATAGAGATTATGACTGAAAGATGCTTGCTCAAATGATGTCTATCTTCTGGGCTAGTGGTTTGATTGGTTTTGTAATTTTAAAAATTCTGTCAATATGCATTTTTATATATTCTAGGAGAATTCTGTGTCTTGTTTACTAATGAAAAGAGTGAGAATTTTTTATGGATGTTGAAACATAGGGCTTCTTCAAAATGCTTGATATACAAGAAGCATCAGAAAGGCCTCCTAGTCCTCATATTCGTGAAGAATAAAATGTCTTTACTTTTCAATACATACAGGTTTGCTCTTCCTAGTGATATCTGAAATGATTTACAAAATATATTTTTATTGATTTCAGAGAAGAAGGGAGGGGAGAGAGAGATAGAAACATCAATAATGAGAAAGAATCATTGATTGGCTGCCTCCTGCATGCTCCCCACTGGGAATCTAGTCTGAAAACTAGGCATGAGCCCTGACCAGGAAAGGAACTGTGATCTCCTGGTTCATAGGTTGATGCTCAACCACTGAGCAATACTGGTTGGGCTGAAATTATTTTAAGTTCATCACCTATTATTTGATTTTTGTAAAAAAAAATTTTTGAGAGACTTCTATCAAAATAGCATAGAAAGTGTAAGATCTTTCATGTTTGCAATTTGGACTTAATTTTGTTGAAGGAGAAGAAAAATGTTTGTGTGTTGTGTTTTTTTTTTTTTTGTTAATCCTCACGCGAGGATATTTTCCTTTTATTTTTTAAGAGAGGATGGAAGGGAGGGATGGTGGGGAGAGAGAGAAACATCAATGTGAGAGACACAATGATCAGTTGTCTCCTGCATAGCCCCCACCAGGGCCAGGGATCGAACCTGCAACCCAGGTATGTGTCCTTGCCTGGGTATCGAACCTGAAACACTTTATTTTTTATTTATTTATTTTAAAAAATATATTTTTATTGATTTTTCACAGAGAGGAAAGGAGAGGGATAGAGAGTTAGAAACATCGATGAGAGAGAAACATCGATCAGCTGCCTCCTGCATACCTCCTACTGGGGATGTGCCCACAACCAAGCTACATGCCCTTGGCCAGAATCGAACCTGGGACCCTTCAGTCCGCAGGCCTATGCTCTATCCACTGAGCCAAACCGGTTAGGTCGAACCTGAAACACTTTAGTGCTGGTCAGGGCTGATGACATTATTTATTAACTTGGTAATGAACTATTCTGTGTTTAATCGTAAATAAATTTAGTTGCTGTTTACACATGAGAGAATAATAGTGTTAGTGACTGGTGGGATAATTGCTTATAGATGATTTAATTATATTCTATGTTAAATTATGTCTCCTTTTGGTGCGTATATTTCTTTACAAGTAATAGAAAAAGAGTGCGAAAGAGACTAATGTTGTCTCTTTGTTTGTTTTTTTTTTATTATTTTTTTTTTT